ATTGAGTAACCTGCCCAAGGACACACAGCAGTAAAGCAGGTTCTCTGAACTCTGACCTGTGTTTCCCTTTACAAAAGAAGCAAGCCGCCAGCCCTCTGAGCAGATATTTCTTGATAGTAATCAAGAAATTTGTGAAACTAAATGTTCAGCAGGAAACTCGGAAGGGATATGAGCTGCGTTGAGGTTAGGGTGTGCATGTTGGGTGGGAGGGTTTATTTCTTCTGTCCCCCATTGGCTTTGCAGGGCCGCCCCCATGCCAGGGCCCTATGGGCCAACTCACACTCAGACTCCCCGAGGGCCAGGACTGGGCCTGACCATGTCTATACCTCTAGTGTCCAACACTCATTCATTCAGAGTTTCATTTCCAATTGGATGGCAGGCACCCTCCTGGGGTAGCAGATACAGGCCTGGACCCTGCTCCCTGGGGAGGATGGTCTGAGGACAAAGACTGATGGTAATCAAGAAATTCATGAAACTCAGTGTTGCCTTACAGATGGTGATGAGTGCTATGCAGAGGAGGTACAGGGACTTAGGGTGTAAAACTATGTTGACCCTACCCCCGCCTGGAAGCCATAGAGGCTTCCCTCAAAAGAAATATTTGAGATTTCAAAATGGAGTAGACATCCGCTGGGCGAAGTGGGCGGGAAGAGAGGAAAGTACGCCCCAAGGTCCTGTGGCTACAGGGACAACGAAAGCATTTGAGGAACTGGAAGAGGGCCAGTGTGGCTGCAGCAAAAAAAGAACAAGGAGGAGAGGTACAGACTAGCCCTGAACTTCTCCTCAGAGCAGCAGGAAACCCTGAAGGGATATGAGCTGCACTGAGGTGAGTGTGTGCGTGTTGGCTGGGAAGTTGACAGTGGATTGAACAGATGTGCGCCTGAAGATCACTCTGACCAAAGCAGGAAGAGATTTCAGTGGCTCGGGGGAAACGAGGAGGTGAACAAGGAGGCTACGGCTGGGGTCCTGGTGAGAGATGCTGAGGCTCAGACCAGGCTGGGGGCCCAAAGCTGGAGAGAAGTAAAAGGGAGCACTGAGGCACAGGTCCAGCAGGACTGGAGACCTGGAAGGGGGTGGTGTTTATTGAAGGAGATTCTGATGAACAGGTTTGATTCCCAAGTTCTCACTTCTAACGGTGTGGATATTGACCTTGACATAGGGCACACGCGGGACCCAGGGAAAAGGATCCCCAGGGCGCTCTCCTCAGTGGGGACCCAAGGGGCTGGCGCCTGACTCGGAACACAAACACCTCCCTGACCTCACACCCCAGTGCTCCAAGGTCCTACCAATAAGCGAGAAAATGTGTGTAAAGCACCGCCCTGGCTCTGCAGGTCACTGTAACCTCTGCTCCCGCTCTGTCCTGCCTCCCCTCTGCATTCCTGGGACTTACAAAGGCCCCTGCTCCCTCTCACATGGGGGTGGGCCTGGAAGTTTAGAAAACTCCCAAGGTGATTCAGGGTGGGCACAGGGGTTAGTAGGAGGTAATTCTTTTCTCTCCTCGGGGATTCCAACCCATTTCTGAGCCTTTGGTTGTCAGGTGACAGCTGTGGGCCCCTCTCAGATTGCTCTGAAACACACAAAATAAAATGTGCAGGTTACAAAGGAAAGCGATGCATTTGAAACCCAGTTATCACGATAGGAAAATAATTCATTGCAATTCAGAAATGTAGGTGCCTCTTCATGCATGCATGGAATCAGATCTAGCGTTGGTGTCAGAACTACCATAATTTCAAAGTAGCGATGGATGCCAACGCTACTTTGAGATAGCCATGGCAACTGATTGGTGTGGGTATCTGGGAGCTAACTGCCAGTCAAACATCTGGGACAAAATCACCGGCGGCGCCATTCACAGTTGTATAGTTGTGTTGCCTACATTCATAACCTTAGCTAGGTGTTAGCAGAAAAGTGAAATCGTTTTCCGATCGGACTTTACGGATTTTTGGAATTCCACGCCCCAGTGAAGAACCCCATGAACCAGGAAGAGCAGGTCAGCAAGTCCTGAGGCTTCAGCTGGACGGACTCCCCAGAAAGGTGGGAGGGGGACCTGGAGCCACAGCCCCCTGGCCAAGGAAGGCTCCTGGATGGAACTGTGAGCCCCGTTTTGGGTTTTGGTCCAGAGACGGATAGACAGGCATGGAGAAGGACACAGAGACATTGTAATGGGGTAAAGGGGCCATAGATTGAACACCCTGGAGCTCACAGGGACTGGTTTGACTATTAGCAGCTCCCTTTGGAGTGCGGAAATGGGTTCTCAGAAGTGAAGGGACCTGCCCAGAGCCAGGCGACAGGAAATAGCAGGCCCCATCGTGCAAAGAGCAAATGCACCCAAGTGGCCACAGCGAGCCTGAAGCTGGACACACCCTTCAAATGCAAGGGATCCAGTGCAGGGTAGAAGGTAAAAGCTGGGGCTCAAGAACCAGATGGCCTGGCTTCTCCACGTACTTGTGTGACTTTGAGACATTTAGTTAATGTAGTTGTGCGTTTGTTTGTTATCTGTGAAATGGGAACAATAGTCATTACCTCACAGAGCAACTAAATGCGATTAGAAACATCCGAAGCACCCTAGCTGGTTTGGTTTAGTGCATAGAGCCTCGGCTTCTGGACTGAAGGGTCTCTGGTGGGTTCGATTCTGGTTAGAGGCATGTACCTTGGTGGCAGGCATATCCCCAACCCTGGTCAAATATGTGCGGGAGGCAGCCAATTGATGGGTCTCTCTCACATCGATGTTTCTGTCTCTCCCTCTCCAAAATATTAGTTAATTTCTCTCCCTTTAAAAAAAAATCAAAGGTTTAACAACAACAACAAAACATTTGAAGCACAGCACAGTGCTTAGCACAAAGTGGTCCTCAGCGTTCTTCTGCTGTCGTGATTAGCGGAGCTTTCTTCAGACTCAACAGTGATGGTCCCTCCCCCGGCCCCCCTCTTTGGGGTCCCCAGGGACCAGAGGGGGTGGCCTGCCCTTGGCCCAAGGGGGGGATGAGTAGCTGGCCGGGACAATCTTTGCAGGTGAAAAAATGGTTGAGGAAACTGCAGCTTCAGCAGAATCTGCCTCCTGATGGGGGAGGAGTGGGTCTCTGGTCAAGGGTCAAGGTGGCCCCACCCCTGGAGTCCAGGAGTCCTTGTCTGGGGTAAGGAGAGGTGGTAGAGGTTTACCGGAAGGAAAGTGAGCCTGGCATCGCACAGACAGTACCGCTCCGGGAGCGCCAGTTACACAGGCGATGGGAGAACTCTTGGAGTTCTGCAGTCCAGACACCTGGCCTGGGTCCCATGCCGCCTCTGCCTCTGCCACTCCCTTGTTCTGCGGCCCTGAGCAAGCCACTTACCCTCTCAAGCCCATCTCTAACGGGGCCACCACTCCCACCTTAACCGCTGTTTGAGTTTATGCAACAACATAAACACAACCAGCTCCTACCCTAACCTGTTTGGCTCAGTGGATAAAGCATCAACCTGTAGACTGAAGGGTCCCTGGGTTCGATTCTGGTCAAAGGCATGTGCCTTAGTTGCGGACACATTCCCAGTGGGAGGTGTGCGGGAGGCAGCTGCTCGATGTTTCTCTCTCGTCAATGTTTCTGACTGTCTCTCTCCCTTCCTCTCTGTAAAAAATCAATAAAATATATTTAAAAAACAAACAAACAACCAGTTCCTAAAAAATGCTCCATAAATAGCAGCTTCTCCTCCCTCCCTCCTCCTCAGGGCCCACCCAAACCCAAGCTTCAGGGTACTGAGGGCATGAGGTACAAAGGGGTGAGCGCAGCAGGTGGAGAAAACAAGAAGGAGGGCAATTGAGACAGGTAAGAGAGGAGAGGCCCCTAGCCCCAGCGTACAGCCCTTTCCTTTGGCAAAGAATTGGCAGATGCCCCTGAGGAGGCTGGGATGTGGGCACCATTCTCTGCACCCCGCTCCCGCAGACTTCCTTCTGGCTAATGATTCCCCCGCCTTCCCTTCCAGCCCTGCAAAGAGGCTCTGCCAATGAGTGTGTGTGGGGAGGGGGGGGGCAGGGACGGCTCTGACATTGGGGATTGACTGACTTCCATTCCTGCTCCAGGCCTGAGGCCAGACCTCTCTAGACTTGGAGCCTCGTCATGTGAAGGAGAGCCTCTGGTACCCAAAGACTCACACAAAGCAGGGATGAGGTGGGGCTCTCACATGTTCTACAAAATGTGAATGGCGCCTCCTAGAGTTGTGCAGTGCAGTGACCATGCCAGGATGGCTAGGAAGGAGACAGCCATTCCTCAAACTCTCCAATGATTTGTTTATTAAGAATAGATTTGCTCGCTCTAGCCAGTTTGGCTCAGTGGATAGCGTGTCGCCCTGCAGACCAAAGGATCCTGGGTTCAATTTCAGTCGAATGCACTTACCTCAATTGCAGGCTCCTCCCTGGCCCAGGGCCCAGGTCAGGGCTCATGCAGTAGGCAACCAATCGATGTGTTTCTCTCACATTGATGTTTCTCTGTCTTTCTCTCTTCCACTCTCCCTGAAAAATATCCTCGGGTGAGGATTAACAAAAACTAACAGACAAAAACAAGAATAGATTTGCTCTGAAGCCTGCTGGGTCTTGAGCTCGAAGGATCTGGATGCCACAAAAGTGACTCTGTCCTCACAAAGCTTACCTCCTAACAGAGAGAACAAATGCTAATTAAATCATCATACAAATAAATACGCTCTTTGTCAGAGCCTGGGTACCGGGCAGAATCCACACTCACCAGGCCCCAGTCTGGTGGCCCCCATTTCATCTAGGGATCCTCACCTGGGCCCTCCACGGTCCCCTGGGCTGAGTAGAGCCTCCCCAGGCCCTCCCCAAGGTCAAAGTGATGAGTGCCTTGTTTTGGTTTTTATTTCCATTTTGAAATGGGACGTTAGGCTCAAAAATCAGTGGTTGTGGGTTTCACGGGCTCTCTCTACGCCCTTACAAATAGCCTGTCTTCTGCGGGGGCAGGAGGTGACAACTTTGGGGTCCAGGCCTGCCCCCTTCAAAAACTCTGCCATTCTCCTCCCACCCACAGCAAACCTACTGTGCCTACACCATCATCATCATGGCGCTCTTCTGGTGTGTCGAGGCCCTGCCCCTGGCTGTCACCGCCCTCTTCCCCCTCTTCCTGTTCCCCATGATGGGCATAATGGATGCCTCCAAGGTAAGCCTCCCCCATCCACAGGAAGAAGGGTTCCTGGGGAGGAAGGGGTCTACTCTAGGATGCTCCTGACCCAGGAGGCCTCACCATAGGCAGAGCCCAGATTCTCCCGTCTCTGCTCTGCAGGTCAGAGTACTGAGGGAGGAGTCAGCTAGAAGGCAAGTGGGCCGGACATTCTAGAAGTGCCAAGTGCAGAGCTGGTGTCGAGAGTTAATTCAAAGAGGGGTGTGGGGAGGGATTAGGCTTAAGCCAGGGAGGTGGAAAGGCCTGGTGACCGAGGGAGAGGGGCCTTGAAGTCCAGCTAAAGAGCTTGACTCCTCTAGTTCAGTGGCCCTTAAACTTGAGTGTCCTTTAACTGGAGGGCTAGTGGAAACACAGGGCCCACCCCAGAGTCTCTGACTCAGTTTATCTGGGGCAGGGCCTAGCATTTCATTTCTAGCAAGTTCCACGAACCACTGCTCTGGTTTCTAGAAACAACGCTAAATTATCACCTCCCGGTCTGTGGCTGCAAACGCGAGCGGACTCGGGCTGGATGAGCTCCCTCCCAATCACTCCTGCGGGGAGAAAGAATGAGTTTGGCAGGAGGAGAAGAACCTGGTTAATATTAAGTAATGCCGAATCCAAAGACCATTTCCATTTGGTTCCAAGAGCCCAGGAACCAACTTCGGTTTGTGGGAGAGTCAGCGGCCGTGCCCTGGAAGCCCAGGGGCGCCATAGGAGGCCCCAGGGTCTTCCCGCCCTGCCTCAGCTGTCCCTGCCTCCCAGGTCTGCGTGGAGTACTTCAACGACACCAACATCCTGTTCATCGGGGGGCTGCTGGTGGCCATTGCCGTCGAGCATTGGAATCTGCACAAGCGCATCGCGCTCGGCGTGCTCCTCATCATTGGGGTGCGGCCTGCTCTGTGAGTTCCCCCAAGCCAGGGCAGGAGAGCCCAAGGCCAGTGGCATTCTGGGCATCCAATCCCTGCCGGGGCCCCGGAACACGAGTATGTCTGTCTGTCTGTCCGTCCCTAGGCTGATGCTGGGCTTCATGATGGTCACCGCCTTCCTGTCCATGTGGATCAGCAACACGGCCACCACGGCCATGATGGTGCCCATCGCGCAGGCCGTCCTGGAGCAACTGCACAAGGCGCCCGCGGGCAAGGATGTCGAGGAGGGCAGTGACAACCCCTCCTTCGAACTTCAGGAGAAAAGCCCCCCGAAGGAAGGGACCACTGTTGGTGAGGAAGATGAGGCTGGACCTTGCTCCAACCCTTCCACTCGTGGGGAGGGTCTGAGGGACACCCCTTCCCAGGGCTGGTCATCTTGGGTCTTTTAGGGAAAGAGGGAGGCAAGAAGCGTGGTCGCCAACTTGTCCTGGTTTTCCTGGGATTTTCCTGGTTTTCAAACAGAGTCCTATGGGAACCCCCGTGGTCCTGGGAAAACCAAGATGTCAGGTCACCCTGGCAACCAGAGAGCTGGAGTCTGGGTGGCCCGTGAGGGGTTTAGGGTCCATTCTTCCTTTGTGGTTTGGATAATCATGTGCCCTTTTCTATGCCTCAGCTGAGAGAGAGAGAGACAGAGAGAGAAAGAGAGAGAGAGAGAGGGAGGTTGGGCCCGATGGTGTCTGAGGTCATCCAACCTGAGACTCCAGGGAGTGCTGAGCCCTCGCAGGCCTAGAGGCAGCCTCAGCTCCTAAAGGAATCGGGGCTGCTCACTGACAAGGCATCCTGCCAGCACCCCAGGGACCACAGCACTCCAGCCAGATCCCCAGAGCTGACCTGCACCCACTCTCCAACCTGAGCTCTCCCTTGTTCCCAGATAATGGGCAGGTCCACCCTGTCCCACCGGGTCCTTTGGAGCCAAAGGCACAGAAGACCGAGGAACAGATCCGCTTTTCCCAGGGCATGAGCTTGTGCGTGTGCTACTCGGCCAGCATCGGGGGCATCGCCACACTGACTGGCACCACACCCAACTTGGTGCTGCAGGGCCAGATCAACTCGTGAGTGACTGACAGAGGGGTGTCTGCACTCTCCCTGGGAGGGGGGCGGGAGGATGAGACCCGGTGGTCGCCAGGCACTGTCACTCAGCAACTGCATCCATCCCCTCTTCAGGATCTTCCCCGACAATGGCAATGTGGTGAATTTTGCCTCCTGGTTCGGTTTTGCCTTCCCTGCCATGATCATCTTGCTGCTGTTTGCCTGGGTGTGGCTTCAGTTCCTCTTCCTGGGGTTCAAGTAAGTGGCAGAATGGGTGAGAGACGCCCAAGGCCCTGTCCTTATCCCTTGGGTACCCAGATAGCCATTGTGGAGATGACCAAATCACCATCCCAGTGAGAAGGTCTCTCCCTCCCAAGGCTCCTCCGTGAACTTGGCAACCCCCTACCCTCATGTGAGGTAATGAACTGGCCCAAGAGTATTATTTTTAAATATATATATTTTATTGATTTTTCAGAGAGGAAGGAAGAAGGATAGAGTTAGAAACATCGATGAGAGAGAAATATCTATCAGCTGCCTCCTGCACACCTCCTACCGGGGATGTGCCTGCAATCATGGTACATGCCCTTGACCGCAATCGAACCTAGGACCTTCCAGTCCGCAGACCAACACTCTATCCACTGAGCCAAACCAGTCTTGGCCCAAGAGTATTATTATCATTTTGCAAATGAGTAAACTGAGGCTTGAGGAAAGAGGTACACAACTGGATTTGTCAGTGCTGGGATTAAAAACCAGGTCTGATGCCCAGGCCAGGCCCCATTCCACAATAACACTCCACAGTCCTTTGGTAAGTGCTGAGTGAGAACACGCTGGGAATTTGTCCTACCCCAACTGGATTCCCAGCCCTGTGCTGGGCACTGAGAATACTAAACACGGAAGGCAGTCCCTGTCCTTGGAGCTCACCCTCTGGTGGGTGATGGTGTGGTGGGGCCACGACATAGGGAAGCCAGGTGCTGTGGGAGCAACAGCCCAGGTGAATGGGGATTCCAGAGGCTCCTGGAGGAGACGGTGTCAGAACTGAATCTTGTAAAACTAGAAGTCATCCAGGTAGAGAATGGGGTAAAGGCAGCCCAGGCACCTTGTACCAATGCACCGAGGCAAGAGAGAACATGCCACGTTGGGGAGAACTCTAGCTCAGTGTGTGTGAACCCTAAAGAACAAATCGGAAGCCGTAGCCGGTTTGGCTCAGTGGATAGAGTGTTGGCCTGCAGACTAAAGGGTCGATTCCCCTCTCCTACCCGCCCCCCCCCCCCAAGTAGGGGACGTGCAAAGGGCAGCCAATCAGTGATTTTCTCTCATCATTGAATTTCTATCTCTCTCCCTTCCTTTCTGAAATTAATAACAAATAATATATTTTTTAAAAAGAACAAATAGGAATACCTGGAGATGAAGTTAGAGAATAGGTGGGGGTAGGATTTTGGACGATTTTGTGTGTCATATAAGGAGTTAGACCTTGTCCTTGACGCTGAGTAGTGAATAGGTTTTATTCTTACTAACAACCCTCCCTTACTTGTAGTCATTGGCGTTCTGAGTTGAAAATACTGTGAGACTTTGCTAGGGCTCGGTAGGAAGAGTCTGTGAATGATTAGTCATGTCTGCTCTGAGTACAGGATAAGAGTGGTGATATGAGTGGTACTATGGTATGAGTTATTTGCCCTTCTTGCCCAAAGCCTTGTTACTGTACTTTGGAAAAATCTCGTGGGCATGGGTGAGGAGAATGGATTGAGGTTGGGGGCTGGTACAGGCAAGATGGTAGCCAAAGTGCCAGGCACCATGGAGGAATTCAACGATGTGTGAAACATGGTTCTTGCCCTTGAGGAAGTTGGGATTTGCCCAAGTGAGAAGTGAAAAGCGAACATGAGGTAGGGAATCGGCCTACAGAAATGGGCTAAAGCCTTTTGTGCCTCTGGGGACAATCAGAGTGGGGCTCAGGCTGGCAGAGGATGCCCAGAACGTGGTCGGAGAGGGAGGGGAGGACTTCCTGAAAAGCTGTTGGAGGAGGGGAGCAGTGAGTCAGAGCCAAAAGGAGACATAGGGTCCAGGCCTCTAGGACCTCCTCACTCTGGGCAAGGGAGGGCATGGCTCAAGAGAAGCCTTGGAGGGACAGGGGGCCAGTGGGGCAAATGGAGCCGGGCTAAGCATGGGGGCCCCCCAACTCCAACCTCTCCTCTTCCTCATGACCCCCTCCCCAAGGCTTCTGCTCTTCTTCCAGAAACGGGTGGATTCGGGGCCTTCATGTAACAAAGAAGGCCTCTGGGATGGCCTCAGCCTTCCCATCACAGGCATTCAGAGGTCCTTGTTTCCCCCCCCAACCCCTACCCGGTGCAAGGCCCTCATGAGCTGCCCTGCCCCTCTCCCTGCAGCTTCCGGAAGAACTTTGGCATGGGCGAAGAGGCACGAGGTCAACAGCAGGCAGCCTTCCGAGTCATCCAAATGGAGCACAGGCGGCTGGGCCCCATGACCTTCGCGGAAATGGCTGTCACTTTTCTCTTTGTCTTCCTGGTCCTGCTCTGGTTCACCCGGGAGCCAGGCTTCTTCCTCGGTTGGGGCAACCTGGCTTTTTCCGATGCCAAGGGGGTAAGGTGAGCATTCTGGGGGGGAGGGGAATACTTCAGGGGCTCACCTAGCTAAAGGAGGAGGGAAGGGAGCAGGGCCTCAAGAGCAAAGCAGAAGGGAACCCTGGAGGGTGGCGGAGAGGACACTTGCCAGAAGGGGTTGGCCTGTCGGTGGGAGGGGCTCCTCTCTGTCACCTCCTCCCCCTACATCCCTGAGCAGCCCGAGCCACTAAGCCTGCCCTCCCTGCCCCCCCCCCCCTGCAGCGTGGTGTCTGATGGGACAGTGGCCATCTTCATCAGCGTCATAATGTTCATCGTGCCCTCCAAGATCCCAGGGCTGACTGAGAAGCCAGGTAAGCACCTGGACCGGGCCAGGGAAGGGCCTCTGGGCAGCCCCTGCCTTCCAGCATAAAAATGTGCCTCTTAGACCCTATTTGGCAGGATTAGACGAAGCCCTGAGAGTTTGATGTGACTTATCAAGGACACAGGGACTCGGGGAGAAAGTTGGGATCCCCCTCCCGCACGCATGAAGCTCTGATAGGAACCCATGGAGGAGGCCCCACGTGGAAGAGAGGGAAGGCCTGTTGACTCCCGCTGACCCATCCTCTTCTGCCTGGGGAGTAGGAAAGCCGGGGAAGCTAAAGGCCCCTCCTGCCCTCCTCAACTGGAAGACAGTGAATGAGAAAATGCCCTGGAATATCGTTTTCCTGCTGGGTGGTGGCTTTGCCCTGGCCAAGGGCAGTGAGGTGAGAAACCCCTGCCCTTTCCCCAGCCTGTTTGAGGGAGACCCTGTGGCAGGGAAAGAGGGGCCGTGCTTCGGTCCCTCAGAGGGGAGACTTGATCCCTGCTTAGGCGCCCCCTGGTGGCCAAGCCTCGCAGCTGCTGGAGAGAGATTAGTCATCTAAGAGAAGCGGAAGAAACAAGCCAAAGGGACCTTTTCCCACTTGGGTTCTCAAAGCTAAAGGGGAGGCAGATTTCACTCGTGGGCAGGGACTGTTCTCCGAGACCACCCTCCCCACCCCTACAGACACACACACACACACACACACACACACACACACACACACACACCACGCACACACACACTCCACCTCCTCACCCCTTCTAGACAGAGAATATAATGTCTTTAGCATCTGGGAGTTGTTGGCTTTGGGTTGACAAGGTTAGCCTGCTATAACCACCAGGGGGCGCTGTAATCACATCCAACCGGGCTCTGGAGACAAGAGCATCATTCTCAGAGCCTCCATCCAAGAGAGAAACCCCTGAACCTGCACACCTGGGCCTCAGTGTTCCCAATAAGCTCATTCGCTGCACAGACAGGAGGCAGGTTTCCTGGGTCAGGGATTGGTGCTGCAGACTCCTAAGTCCAAGGTTAGTTCATCCGTCAAGCGTTTATCAGCTGTGCCAAGCTCGGTGCTGGGTGCTGGGTGCTCGGTAGGCAGTGTTGGCTCACAACCTAGCATCACAGTGGGCGGGACAAGACCTCGGAGCTCTTCTGACCCTGTGGACAGTCCCCGCCTGCCTGTCAGCCTCTTCCCAGCCTCTTCCCCATCCCCACTCTCCCTCCTTGAGCAGCTGTGTGAGCCGAGAGAGGTCAGGAGAAGTTTACTCCCACAAGCCCCAGGTTTCCCAAGAAGGCCCTTGGGCCCCCTTTCTTAGCTTCTCATCTGGCCCTTCTCCCCACACCCAACTGTTCTTCAAGAGCAGGAGAGGGGGCCCCTTGGTTCTAGCTGGTTCTTCCCTCCCAAGCTGCTCTTGATTTTGAAGAATCTAGAGAGGTATGAACAGGAAGGTGACCCTCCCAGAACCTCAGCAGGGGACTCGGGGACCCCAGGCAGCCCAGCCTCGCTCACACCACCCTCTTCTGCCCACAGGAATCAGGCCTGTCTGAGTGGCTGGGGGACAAGCTGACCCCACTGCAGAACGTGTCGCCTCCCGCCATTGCCTTTATCCTCTGCCTCCTGGTGGCCACCTTCACCGAGTGCACCAGCAATGTGGCCACCACCACTCTCTTCCTGCCCATCCTGGCCTCCATGGTGAGTCGGCCCGGCAGACACGCCTCCTCCAGGCATCCCACCTGTCCCCCACACACACACACTCAGGGCCCCGCCTGTGGATCTCAGTGACCTGCCTGCAGCTCCTCTCATTTCCGGGAGGGGACCTCTGAGCTTCCACGCTTCCCGGGGCTCTCCAGCTACCTTGGGCTCCAAAGGCCCCCGGCCCCTGACTCATCCCATCCCTGGTGACGTCACCCCTTGAGTATCTTGATGGGGCTCACTGGTGGCCTCCCCCAGCTCCCCAGCCCAGCCCCTGCTCTGGTCATTCCTGAGGTGATGGGGTAAAATTGCTCCCCGGAGCGTCCCCAGCCCCTTCCCACAGCCTTTGAAGATACTCGGGGCCCCTTTGAGATCTGTTTTATGGGCCCCTCCCCTCACCACACCCCACCGGGCAGGGCCACACAGTCATTCCCTCCAGAGAGGTCAAGGGGCCCTTTCCAGGTCACCCAGTACCTTCTGGCAGAAGTAGTGGGTTCACGCCCAGAGTATGTGTTGGGGGTGGGGGTGGGGGTTATCCCTCAAAGGTGGGGAGCAGGTGTATTGGGGCCACGCCTTTCCCTCTGGGATGGGGACTGCCATCAACTCAGCCCGCTGTCTCCCCCTCCAGGCTAAGGTCATCTGCCTCCACCCTCTCTACGTCATGCTCCCTTGCACTCTGGCCGCCTCCCTGGCCTTCATGCTGCCGGTGGCCACCCCGCCCAATGCCATCGTCTTCTCTTTTGGAGGAATCAAAGTGTCTGACATGGTGAGTGGCAGGGGCCCCCGAACGTCTCGGCACCCCTTTCTGCTCCGTCTTCCCATCTCAGTGGACTACCAAGGAGCTAGCAGCTGAGAATGGACCTTGTCTCAGGTGGGGGACGCAGGGAGGTTGGGATATGACCCCCAGTTCGAGCATCTTTAGGCCCTGCCAGGCCCAAGCCGTGTGAGAGGAAGAGAAAGGGGTGAGGGATGTAGGAAAGGTTCCCAGGTGCCGAGCAGCCTCTCGCGGGGAGATGGACTCCGAGCGGACGAGGCCCAGGATCAGGGAAGCTCGTGAGGCGCTTTCCTTACCCGCTGAGCCCTGGGAGTAAGGCCAGAGCAAGGGCACTGCCTGGTGCTGCAGCTTAGACGCAAGGAAGGACTTCCCAAGAGCGAAGTTTGCTAGTGACAGCGTCTGGGCGCCCATGGGCACCGAAGGGGTGCGTGCTGGCCCCGCCCAGCAGCTGCTCGCTCACCCCGATTCTCTGCCATCCAGGTCCGGGCGGGATTCCTGCTCAACATCATGGGCGTGCTGGTCATCATGCTGGCCATCAATACCTGGAGCTACCCCATCTTCAGCCTGGACACCTTCCCTTCCTGGGCCAACACCAACGCAACCCACTGCCTGAAGAACGCCACCACGCCCAGCCCCTAGACCAGAGCACAAGCTGGCCAACACCGGGCAGACCCAAGCCGTTCCGACTCCTCTGAGTGGGGAAGAGACACCCAGGCTCCAAGCCAGACAATGCGAGGATGGCACTCGTGTGCGCATTACCTCGTGTGTCCCTGAGGGATGTGCGTGTGCACTCAATCCTGTGTGTCTGAAGAAAATGGGTAGATGGTATGTACGTCTCTGTGTCACGTGAGGATGTCTGGGGGGGGGGGTGTGCGTGCCTATGATCTTAGGTGTGTGTGCTTAGCCGTGCATGTAGGTGAGTTCACAAATAACGTAACGTGCCCTTTCTAGCACTCCAGATCTTGGTCTCCCCAGCTGGATGGGTGACCAGATCCCTTTATACTGTATTTATTGAAACTCAAGGGTGGGAGGCCATGGGAACAGCCTCTGGGACCAACCCAGCATGCCCCAGCCTCTCCCGTTCGGGGGAAGGGCTCGGATACGAGGTACATTAAAGTCTTTTTCAGTAGAGTCTGGGATGGTTTTTCACGGCGCTTTCCAGGGCCGGTCCGCCACATGGCTCAGGCCCTAGGTGAGGAATTATGGTCGGAAGGGAGCTTGCCTTTGTCCTGTATGGCAGACCACCCTCCCCCCTTGCCGCCCTTCCCACCCCAGAGAGAAGGGAATGCCCGGGGACCCCTGCCAAGGCCGATCGGAGTGGGCGCAGCCACCCAGGAAAGCAGCACTGACATCACCGGGCCTGGCTAATTGGGAGCTGCCAGTCGCTGCGTGCCTTTGGGAAAACCGGCCTCCGGTTCCCAGAGCACTCCCTGGGCATTTACATAAAACCCTCTGCCCCTGCCAATTCCTCACCGACCCTTCCTCCAGCCGGAAAAACCAGTCCCGCTAGGCGAGGGGAGGCAGGCTGACCGCGCTGAGTGCCCGCAGAGCCGGACCCTCACCGACCCGGCAGCGAGAAGGATGCAGCTCCCGGCAGCAGCAGGTTCAAAACTGGCACGGCCTTCAGAGTGCAGGACCCGACAGCCCTCCGGGCCGCTCTGCCTCCCCCGCTCCCCTCCACCCCCCACCCCCACCCTCGCTGCCTCCGCCTTCATGAGCCCTGAGCTTTGTCTCTCTGGCAAGGTGAGCTGGGATGGCCGGACGCTCATCTCTGCAGCAACCCGGAGTCTCTCTGTGGCCAGTGGCATGAGAGCCTTGAGTTCACAGATGGGAGTTTCTCAGAGTCTCATCCAGCTCCCTCCTGCTGCTGTGGGAGGGGGAAATAGATATCTATTGTCACTCTCGTGCCCAATAAAAAAAGAGGGCTGATGTGTGAATAGAGGATCCCAGAAAGGATTGCACCCTGGGTTCCCCCCTGGTCCGGGCCTTCCTTCACTACTCCTGGAGCTGGGGGTTCGAGGGCGGCGGGCAGGCACCGATGGGAGGGGGCTGCAGCATGAGGAGAACATGGCTGTCCCCCGGGGACAGGGATCCTGACAGGACATGCCAGACATCCCGCAGAGTGAGGTGTGTCAGGGGGTGGCCCGCCCCCAACCCAGCCCCCTAGGCTGGCATTCCTCATTTATTATACAAAGCGCGTCATAAATCACAGAGACCCCCATAAGGCCCCAGGCCAGGCCCCTCCACCATGGAATGGGCCAGCCCCTGGATGGTGGGACCCGGCCAGCAGCTTACCCACAGCGCAGGGCTCCCTCAGGAGCAGCCCAGCCGCACGGTGCGAGGACCCTCTGCCACCGCTCTCTCTAGACCTGGCTGGGTACCCTCGTGCAGCCGTGGCTGGGGAAGGGGGCTGTGCTTCTCAGGGGCACACGCCCCATCCGCTGTTATCAGCTCATCCCCTTCATACCGCTGCCCGCCTTCCACGTCTCCTTCAGTCCTGCTCAGAGAGGGTCATGTGTGGACTAAGGTCACACAGCAGTCTCAGGGGATAAAGACGGAGCTGGCCCTGCCTTCTCCGGGCAGGAAGTAGACAAAAGCTGGCCTGAGGGTTGAGGGGTCAGCTGTGGTGGGGGGCCCTGGCAGAGCTTGGGGGGGCCCTGGCAGAACCTGAGGGTCAGGCCTCCCCCAGGTGCTCAGAACCACCCTCCCCAGCAGGCGGGAGGGCGGGAGGGCGGACGGGAGGCAGGCGGCACCTGTGAGCCCAATAATCATCGTCATTAGCTGGGCAATAAAGCGGCCCGGACCGGCCAGCCTTTGATGGAAGGGCCTGTCAGCCCGGGTCAGGCTTATGTGAGCAGCCCAGCAGCTCGGCCTTCCTGCGCACACTCCCTGGGCTGTGGCAGGTGGATGGGGCAGTGCTGGGACCAGGGTCTGCATCTTCCCTGCCTGGGCACCCGCACCCCTTCGCTCACGGCTTCCAGAAAAGTCGAGGTCCTTTGGGGGCCCCTACCAGTTGAATCTGGGCAGTGCTGTGACTCAGGCACTGCTGTGGTAGTGAGCACCTTGCTGCTGAAGGGGATCGAGGAGGCCAGAAACCACCCGAGGACAGTCTGCCTGAGGCGGCTGTGTGTTCCTAGCACAGGGCCCGGCACTGCGGTTATTGTACAAATAAGCGAATGTACCAGAAGCATCGGGGGCTTCTTGCTCCTGGAGGAGAGTTGGACAGGCTGCCCTCAGAGCCCCTTTCCAGACTGCTGTATGTGGAGTGCTGTGTGGCCTTGAGACAATGCCTTGGCCTCTCTGGGCCAATGTCATCTTAGGCTCGGCATAGGTACAGACTTCTGAGCCAATTCCTTCTGTTTTCCCCTGCCCCTGTTCCTCCCGCTCCTCCTGCTGGCCAGCACCAGCCCCAGAGGCAACTGGCAGCCAGAGTGCCCAGGAAAAGATGTCAAGCCAAGTTTTTCCATGAGAAGCCCGGCAGGTAGAAAAGGGGCATTTGTTATGAGATGGAAAAGGTGGGAGCAGGCTAGTGATTCCATCCTCTAGGTTCACCCTAATTTGAGCTTAGGTGAGGGGCAGCTCTGGGGGTTATAGCCCCAGAGTAGACCCCTTCGGGATTCAGGCCATGACTTCCCTGTCTCTCCAAAGTCCCTGAGGAGAGGCTGCTTCTTGAAGAGGAAGGGGTGAGCTAGGCAGGAGGGAGTTCTGGGTGAGGGGTGGGGTAGGAATGGGCTGTTCGAGGTTCTGGTGGGAGCCAGCTGAGGAGGGTGCCCCCTACAGCCTTCATCCAAGACTGGGCTCCATTAGTCAAGATCAGCAGAGTGCTGAGGCTTTACTGGGGGAGGGAGTCTGAGGGCCTCCAAAAGCCCTGGACCAGCCTCAGGGAGGGGAGCAGGGAGACGAGGGGACAGGGAGGTCAGGGAAGGGAATAGAGCAGCCCGATTGGAAAGGCTGTGACAGGTTCAGCTGGTGTGTTTCAGAGGTTGAGTGTTGACCTACGAACCAGGAGGTCACAGTTCAATTCCTGGTCAGGGCACATGCCTAAGTTGAGAGCTCAATCTCCAGTTGGGGGCATGCAGGAAGCAGCTGATAAATGATTCTCTCTCATCGTTGATGTTTGTTTTTTTAATAAATATTTTATTGATTTTTTACAGAGAGGAAGGGAGAGAGATAGAGAGCCAGAAATGTCGATGAGAGAGAAACATCGACCAGCCGCCTCTTGCACATCTCCCACCGGGGATGTGCCCACAGCCAACGTACATGCCCTTGACCAGAATCGAACCCGGGACCTTTCAGTCCGCAGACCGACGCTCTACCACTGAGCCAAACTGGTTTCGGCTCATCGTTGATGTTTCTCTCTCTCCCTCTCCCTTCCTCTGAAGTCAATCAATAAAAATACATATTTTTTAAAGATTGTGATAGGGAAGAGTTGCTCTTAAGGGTGGGAGACCCACAGACATGTATATTCAGAGCTATGGATTCTTGGGTACATGTAGAACAACTCACAGACACAAGCACAGACAGTAGATGCTACATATACACAGGGACACTCATGTGTGTAGTTATTCACAGGCATTCACAGCCCTTCAAACACCAGTCATTCACACACACACACACACACACACACACACACACAGAATTGGTACGACGGACATGCCCAGCATCACATTATTATAACTCCACAATTTAGCTGCAGCTGCACACCCATGGTGACACATGTGGGCATGAGAACAGACATGTAAGTACACACAGTGGACACACATACACTGGCATTGCTCCTCCCAGTAGCAGGAGAGATTAAGACAAGACAGGAGAAGCCTGCCCTCCCCACCCAGCAGGTCTCTAGCTATGTCCCTCCCCACCTGCCCCCCGCCCCCCAAGCTCTGAGCTTGGAAACTCCCTGGATTTCCCAGAGGGTCAGCCAACCAGAACAGGCTCAGACCTCCCAAACCAGGGCCCCTGACACACACCCTCCACAGCTCTGGCCAGCACACTATCATCCACAGCCAAGGAGCTGCCTGGTCTCCCCCTAGAAGCCCGTCCTGATTAATCCCAGACCTCTCCAAGCCTTTTTCTTTTTTTCCTAATGTTTTTATTGATTTAAGAGAGGAAGGGAGAGAAATAGAAGAATAGAAACATCAATAATGAAAAAGAATCGTCGATCAGCTGCCTCTTGTATACCCCTACCGGGGATTGAGCCCGCAATCCAGGCATGTGCCCTGGCCAGGAAACAAACCGTGACCTTCTGGTTCATTGGTTGATGCTCAACCACTGAGCCACACTGGCTGGGCTCCAAGCCTTTTTTACCTGAGGTCCTGAGGCTCATGGCAGCTGTGCTTAGGCCCAGAGCCTCCACAGATGTTCCTAAGTGTCTTCCATGCCCATGGAGGGAGATGGAAGGCCTGGGAAGTAGCAGGCCCATCTTGGAGACCCACTTAGGGAGACAAGTCTGATTCACACTGAGCAGAAGTGGACAGAATATGGCCAGTCCTGATATGGGCTACAGGGAGGGGCCTCCACCAGAACACTGGGGCTCCCAAGGGTGGGCACATGCTCTTCCTTCTCCCTGGAGTCTTGCCTCAGAGTGGAGTATGGCACACATTGTCACCTTATTCCAAGCCGCCAGATTGAAGTCCTTC